GCACCCCACAAATGAATGCTAGGAGACCGCTACTGTGTTGTTTCAGGGTTTGGAAGCACCCCCAGACGTCTTTGGCTTCTCTTAATGAGTAACTAAATATAAATATCAACTCCTCTGGAAACTCATTTTGGATCTCAATTAACTCCAGAAAAATGACCAGCAAGTGGTCCCCCTGTGAAACAATGAAGAACATTCTCAGAGTATTTCTCCACCTGGAGAAACTTGCTTATAACCCAGTCTTACAAGGTGAGTCTGTGTTCTCATGCAAGTTATCATGACGTCACGGACATTTTCGTAGATGAGACCATTTCTGGAAAGGTTTTTATTTGAAGATCTGTTTGTGAGATGCACAGTGTTTCGCCTCCATGTGTGTAAGTACATACATGTAATGTCCAAGAAGGCCAGAAGAGGGTACTGGATCTCCTGGAGCTGGAGCTACATGCTGTAGTGAGCTGCTAGGTGGATGCTGGGAACTGAACACAGGTCCTCTCCAAGAGCAGCTAGTGGTCCTAACCTCTGTGCCATCTCTCCAGGCCCTATATTCCCTTACAATTTTATACAATCACATAGTTTTAAAGTTGACTAATAAGTTATAAAGAAAACTTTTCATAAATAGCAGTCTATAAGACAGCTTTTATAAATAGAAATGAACAGAGAAGTGACAAGGCCCATGAATGACCTCTGTTTCCTTCAGCCAGGACAGCTCCCGGCCTCAGTGGTAACGTCCTTGTGTATGGAGTCTGACTATTTGTGGGAAGGGAACTGGACTGGGACTGGAGGGGCATCTTGCGCTTCTGTCTCACAATGACTACAGATTGCTCTTAGAACTAGCATTGCTGAGGAGAGCCGAAGAGGAACGGGAGGGAGGCACCTAGGAGATGGGAAACAAGAGGCACAGCTGGACAGCTGCACAGAGGTCCCCAAACTCACCATCAGTGTCCTAGCTACATTACACCCCAAGGTACCAGCTCCCAGCAGCAGGCACTTGACAGACACGACCTTGTCCAAGTCCAAGGTGGGGACCAATCGCCAACACATCAGCTTGAGATTCAGATCCACGGATGACTCAGCCAGCCTGGAAAACAATTGATTGATGTGCTGGTGAGTCATTTGAATGAAAAAAAGGAATAAAAAGGAGAGGACATGACAGCTGGTAGGTATGGTGGAGGAGGGGAGAGCACAGTTAGAGGCAGGGACATCTGGGACAGTCCAGAGTGGACATGACCAGACTGAGCAGGGCCAGGTGAGGAGAAGGGGGAGGGAGAGCAAGGGAAGAGCCACTGACCAACAGTGGGGGCTTGGGCCAAGAGACGGGCATAGATGTGGTGGTGAGGGCGAGGGAAAGATCCCCCAACCCCATCTCCCCTGCCAGGTGAGGGAGCTGACCCTCCCCCCATCAGCTGCAGCTCTCAGGAAATGGCACCCTGCACCTCAATATTGATGGATGAGGGTGAACGGGCCTGAGAATGTGAGCTTGGGAAATCTGGCTCCACCCTTCATCTGCCATATGGTGGCAGAGGCTGGGGAGAGATTCCCCCCTCGATGCCTGTGGAGAGAAGAAGAGCTGTCCCTGTCCCTCACCAGCTGGAGCACTCGGGAGAGTGGCCCCTGGGAAACACAGTAGAGCTGGTCCTGCTGTTGTATGTGCGCATGCCCCGAGGGTATGAGAGCAGGAGTACGGGTCCCACCCCTTGCTCATTACTACAAGCAGGGGTAAACTAGCCGCCGCTGGGGCAATGCTGGAGATCTCACCCTGGTGGTAAGGATGGAGAGAGCTGGTGGGCTGACCAATCCTGCAACTACCCAGGCCCAGAACGAGGAGTTGGCCCACTCCAACATCCACCCCATCTATAATCTGATGGAGTACATGAAGGGGCCAGTCCTGTGTACCCAAAACTGCAGGATCTCCATGACACAGTGCAACAACAGGATGTGGGATGTCTTTCTGTACACTGTGAATATGTGGTGCTCTCATTGGTTAATAAATAAAGCTCTTTGGTGAGGCAGAATAAAGCTAGGCAGTACATTCAAACTGAAGATGGAGATGAAGGGCAGAGTCAGGGCAGATGCTGTGAGCTGCCCAAAAAGCAAGATGTGAAAGAACCGGTAAGCCATGGGCCATGTGGTAATACATAGATTAATAGAAACAGGTTAATTTAAGTGTAAGAGCTAGTAGTAAGCCTGATCTACTGGCCAAACATTTATAATTAACATAAGCCTCTGAGTGATTATTTTAAAAGCAGCTGCAGGGACTGGGTGGAACAGAGGAAAGCCTCCATTTACAGAGTCCCAGTGAGGGCCCAGCATCAATAGTGTAGGAGAACCCTGAGGCCTCAAAGCAGATCAATGATTCTTTGCAATGATCATCTGCAAGTAAAGATGTATGGACTAAAAGGGTAAACTGTGTGACTCACTGTGTCACACTACAGCTTCCATGATGAGATTTTTCTTTTTTTTTTCCCTCTTAATTTTATTTTGTGGGGAGGTTGCAAGTACAGAAGGCAGATACGAAGGGACAGGGAGATGAATGGGATCAAGATGCATGATGTAAAAGACACAAAGAATAAATAAAAAAAGAAAAACAGAGAGAGTGGGGGCACAGTCAAAATGGCTGGATTATACAGGGAAGGGGAGCGCAGGCCCTGGGGTGGGGAGTTCAGGGTAGGGGGTGGGATAAGCCAGTCATACCCTGTAACAGGTAGGGACTGAGGGATGCTAGGAAAACCTGGTGACCAGGTCTGCTTTGATATGTGTATTAACACATTAGGGCACCTCAGTCACTTGACCCAGGCTTGAGACCTAACACATTCACATGTGTTCCAGTCTTCATTTCTAACAGACAGACATGATCTATGGGAGGAAACAAGATGGAAATAACCAGGCAATCAGAGTCAGAGTAAAAACGAGATGAAGCTTGTAGGTAACAGAGTGGAGAAAGGTTATCACGCAGAAAGCAGGCCACTTCCTCTGCGATTGCTGGGGTGGGCCAAAGTCCCTACATGGAGCTCCTAACAGCAAGGGGAGAGAGGAAGTTAGAGCAGTCCCGAGCTGTTGTGTCGGCTTACCAGAATGGCTCTTCCAAGTACCAAAAACTCTCCCAGAGCTTAATAAAGGGTAAGCGGATTCTCATCCTTGAAAGTAATGTGGCTTCTCCACAAATGCAACGCTGTTTATAAAATCCTTCAGGGGTGGCAAGTAGGACGAAGGTCTACAGCCGTGAATAAAGAACTAGAAAGGGAGGCAGAGGCAGGCGATCTCTGCAACTTCCAGGCCTGCCAGGGCTGCACAGTGAGACTCTAAACAGAAATGACCATAAAGACTAGAAAAGGCAGTGCTGAGGTCCAGGTGTCTGAGAGTCGGAGCTGGAAACAAGAGTGGAAAGCCGTGCATGCCTCGGGATGCCTGGCACAATAGTCCTTAGGACAATGTGGACCAGCAGTAGCTGGCTCTATTACCATTACCAGCACCCCTGAACTACACAGCACAGCATCGGCCACACCCTGGAGACAAGGGCACTCCAGTCATGTCTACCTTTTGGGGTCCATGCATCCGCTGAGGTTCACCATCCTTGGTCCCATGCCTCCTTTCTGGTTCTTCTCCCAGCCAACTGCTTTAGGACAATCTTAAGGTAGATAAAACATAAGGTTTACTAAAAGGGGGAAATAAAAGCAAACCTGAACTCATGTCTTCACGCTTGTGTGGCAAACACTTCAGACTGAGCCCTGTCACCCCAGCTGCCCTCTCCTTCCCACGTTGACTGCCCTCTTTTTTTTTTTTAACAATGTTTATTTTATATGCGTGAGTGTTTTGCCTGCATGTCAGTACACCATTTGTATGCAGTGTTTTCAGAGGCCAGAAGAAGGCATCAGACCCCCTAGAGTGGGAGTTACAGACAGTTTTGAACCACCACATGGGTGCTGGGAATTGGACCTCTGCAAGAGCAGCCAGTGCCCTTAACTGCTGAGCCATGTCTCCAGCCCAACTGTCCTCTTTTAACTCCTGTTGCAGGAGCCCCTGGAACTCCAATCCCAGAACTCTCGCCAGAGTTTATCTTATTCTGTGCTACAAAGACTGAGACGATATTTCCACGAGTGTAGATCTGTCACCGTGTGGAGTGCTCTTTCCACATCCTGCATTTAACAGAAACCCCTCAGGGCCATAAGACCTCTCACAATTCCTGCTGCTGTTATGGGACCTCCGTCCTCTCCTTTCTCAAAGACTTCTTCCTTCTATTTAGAATAAGTTTCAACCATTGAGCAGAGAACTCAGCCTTAGGTTACATTTCAGTATCACTTCCAGTGTCTGATCTAAGTAAGGCTCTGGGGCTGTGCTGTGCTGTGCTGTGCTGTGCTGTGCTGGCCTGGGGCTGGGGTTGGGCTGGGGCTGGGGCTGGGGCTGGGGCTGGGTTGGGCTGGGGCTGGGGTTGGGGCTGGGTTGGGTTGGGGCTAGGCTGGGGTTGCAGCTTGGTAGTAGAGCAATATTCAGTGTGCGAAAGCTGCAATAATGGAGCTGAGTTCCATCATCAGTAACACACACACTCTCACACGTGCACACCCCACATATATGCTAAAACACATGCACAGGTTTTAACACAAGATACACATAACATACACACACCACACACACACACACACACATACACACACACACACACAAACATTTACATTCAAACTCCTGCACACTCAAACACTCACCTACACTAAGACACCCACTGACAAAAATCACTCTGTGTCACATTTACATATGTGTACACGTAGACACACATGCTCATTCAAATATACATTCACTCACACACTCAGATACCCACAACTCACAAATACATTGGTATGCACACATACATTCACCTACATACACTTACAAAGATTAAGCCAACACATACATGCAATATTCAAACACAGACACAGTCTTACACATGCCCACCCACAGTCATATTAACACATGTATCCATATTAACAGAGAAATGTGCACTCACATCCACATATGCACTTACAGGCTTGTATACCAAGTCACATACATAGGCTCACACTCTCTCACACTATGAAAGACACCTCCAACACATGCTCATTTCCACTCATGCAGATATATAGGCTCACAAATGCATGCTCACATACAATTCACATGCATTCACACATGGTGTACATTCACACACACATAAACACACTCACATTCATGAAAATGTACTTAAAGACCTTTAGATTTGCATATATATGCACACAAATTTTCAAACTCTCACATATTCATATATATCAATACATGCTCATATACAAGTACCAATTCATACAACCCTGTTGTGGAATATTAGTTTAAGATGTATTACATTTGTCTATGCTGTGGGACATTTGTTTAATGATACAAAGATGTGTTGCATTCTTTTATGTTGTATTTGTTTAAACTCTGTGAAGCCATGTTACTTTGCCTGCCTAATAAAGAGCTGAATGGCCAATAGCCAGTCAGGAGAAAGGATAGGCGGGGCTGGCAGGAAGAGAGAATAAATACAAGGGAGAAATCTGGGAAGAGAGATCTGGGAGCGAAAGGAAGAGAGGTAGATATCAGAGGCCAGCCACCCAGCAAGCCACGGGGTAAGAAGGAAAGACATAGAATAGAGAAAGGTAAAAACCCAGAGGTAAAAGGTAGATGGGATAATTTAAGAAAAGCTGGCTAGAAATAAATGAAGCAAAGGCCAAGCACTTATAAGTAATAATAAGCCACTGCATGATTATTTGGTAGCTGGGTGGTGGGCCCCTTAAAGACCAAACAGTAAAAAAAAACAAAATACACAACCCACACACACATGTGCATGCCCATAAACACTACCACTCCAAATCACACATATAAAATACCCTCTCACATGTACAAACATGTGTGTACACACAATTACACAAACCCTCATGAATGCACATGCTTTATCACTCACTAGCACTCACACGCTCACTTTTATTTAAGGATACACTCAAGCACACTCCCAAAACTCACACACACACCTCATGCACACACACTCAAATATATGCACATGCTCACACTAATGCTCAGATGAAGATGTCAGGACTCCTTTACTAGGGACAAAAGGCTTCAGAGCTCCTCACTCATTTTCTACTGTGAATTCATTATTCTAAACTATTCTTACGTCATGTTTTAAAAATGCTTTTCAGAGCCAGGCAGTGGTGGTGCACGCCTTTAACCCCAGCACTCAGGCGGATCTCTGTGAGTTTGAGGCCAGCCTGGGCTACAGAGTGAGTTCCAGGAAAGGCGCAAAGCTACACAGAGAAACCCTGTCTCTAAAAAAACCAAAAAATGCTTTTCAGATACTACCACCATGACACAAGCCATGGTCTCCCCTTTATACAAATGGCACCTAAGACAACTGGCTATTTCAAGTTCAAATATCTGCATATACACAAGCCCTTCCCTTTCTATTTATTTGTTTATTTATTTATTTATTTAGAGACAGGAACTCATGTACCCTTGAATTCCTGGCTGGCCTTGAACTCATGATCCTCCTGCCTCTCCTGCCCAAGTTCTGGCATTACAGGCATGCACTTCCATGCTTGGTTGACTACAGCCATTGCTAAGAAAATTAGATGCATTGTAAACTTATTAATAATGAAAACTACTACATGTGGAGATTAGTAATCTACACATCTG